GCTGCTTGGCCTGCTGTGTTCATCCAGCCCTGCACCTTGTTGTCTCTTAAAAATAATGTGGCTATTTTCATATGATGAAATATTTGTTAAATTTATTGCATTTTTTCTGTACGAAGGATTTAGTATATTATTTGATTTTTATTTGTATTTTTGTATGCCAGCCTTAACAATCAGTAATAAAATTAGAGCACATGGAATGGTAGCATAGATTGAGAGCTGGCCAGTGGACAGAAAGCAGAGTAAGATTAAATGGGTCATTTTCATTGGCAGCCAGTTTGACTAGATCCACAAGGATCAGTGCTTGGACCCCAGCTATTTACAATATGTATTAATAATTTGGAAATGGGGATTAACTGTAAAATTTCCAAATCTGCAGCTGGCACAAAACTAGATTGAAGTGTGAGTTGTGAGGTGGATGCTTTGGTGTTTTGGAGAGGCTAAGTGAGCGGGTGAAAATTTGGGCAGATGGAATATGATGGGGATAAATGTAACTTTGTTCACTTTGATGGGAAATACAGAAATACAGAACATCTTAAATGGTGAGAGACTAGGAAGTGTTGAACTTCGAAGAGAGTTCGATGCCCTTGTTCAAGTCACTGAAAGTTAACATGCAGGTACAGCAAGCAATTCAGTCATTTCATTTGTTGACCTTTACTCCCACATTCAAATCCTCTTCGCATCATAGAATTATACAGTACAGAAGAGACTCTTTGGCCCATTGAGTCTGTTACTCCAAAAATATACTATTCCCACTTTGCTGTACTAGGCCCATGATCTTGAAGGTAATAACACTTCAAGTGTTCATCCAAGTACTTTTGAAAAGGTTGTGAAGTTTCCAGCCTCACCTATCCTCCCAAGCAGTGCATTCCAGATTCCCACCACCCTCTGGGTGAAAATGTTTTTCCTGAAATCCCCTCAAAATCTTCTGCTTTTCACTTTTAAAATTATGCTCCCTTGTTATTGACCCTTTGACTAAAGGGAACACCTGCTTTCTATTCCCCTGTACATGCCCCTCATAATCTTATATACTTCTATCACGCCCCTCAACCTTCCCTGCTCGAAAGAAAACAAGCTGAGCTTAATTTAGCTTGAATGGCTGTAAATTGAGAGAGGGGAATGTTCAACAAAACTAGGTGTCCTCAAGCACCAGTCGCTGAAAGTTGAGCATGCAGGTGCAGCAGGCAGTAAAGAAGGCAAACTTTATGTTGGCCTTCATAGTGAGAGGATTCGAGTGCAGGAACAACAATGCCTTGCTGCAATTAGACAGTGGATTGGTGAGGTCACATCTGAAATATTGTGTGTAGTTTTGGTCTCCTTATCTGAGGAAGGATGTTCTTGCTATAGAGGGAGTGCAGGGAAGGTTTACCAAATTGATTACTGGGATGGCAGAACTGATGAATGAGGAGATATCAAGTCGGTTAGGATTGTATCCTATGGAGGTCAGAAGAATGAGAGGGGATCTCATAGAAACCTATAAAATTCTAACAGGACTAAACAGGTTAGATGCAGGAAGGATATTCCCGATGGTGGGAGAGTCCAGAACCAGGCGTCATTGTTTAAGGGGTAAACCTTTTGGGTCTCAGGTGATTAGAAATTTCTTCACGCAGAGAGTGGCGAAACTGTGGAATTCAGCTCCACAGTTGAGGCCAAAACATTATGTGTTTTCAAGAAGGAGGTCGATATAACTCTTCTGGCTAAAGGAATCACGGGATATGACGGGAGTGCAGGATTAGGGCATTGAGCTCGATGACTAGCCATGATCATATTGAATGGAGAAGCAGGGTCAAGGGATCGAATGGCCTACTCTTGCTGCTATCTTTATTAATGTTTCTGTTCAGCATCTCTTCTTTGCTGAAATGCTCTATGCCAGGCAACATTCTTTGAATGCCCTCCGGTGTAATCACATCCTTCCTGTGGCGTGGTGACCAGAATTTCACAGAGTAGTCCAGGTAAGGCTTAACCAAAGTTCTGTACAACTCCAGTATGACCTCCTTGCTGTTACAATCCATGCCACAACTGATAAAGGCAAGCGTCCCATAAGCCTTCTTAACTACCCTGTTAACCTGTCCTGCCACTTTCAGGGATCTGTGGACAAGTAACCCCAACATCCCTCTGTTCCTCTAAGCTTCCATTGAATACCCCTTATCTTGATCCTTCTTTCAAAGTACATCACATCACATTTA